ACCGGTACCGGTCTGTGGACCGGTGGTTGGGGACCCCTGCTTAAAGCCATTAACTCCTCTTTTGTCTCCTTTCTTTTCTCAAAACCAGCAAAACAGAGACCTGGACATGTTTATCAATGCTTCGAAAAACTTCAACCTCAACATCACTTGGTCGACAAGCTTTGCAGGTGAGAAATGTTCCCCAGTGCAGGTAAGACCTCAACTTAATGATGGTTCGTTTAGCGACCTTTCAGAGTTACAACGGCACTTCAACAAGTGACATGTCTGTTTTTCACACTTAAGACCATCTCCATGGTCACACGATCAAATCTTCAGATTCTTTGCAACTGATTCATATCTATGATGGGTGTGATGACCCGGGGTGTGACACAAAAATAACCAAGACACAAAAATAAAAGAAACTTGGCCCCAATGCCCAATTTTCCTCGGCTGGATATCAACGTCTTAAAGAAAACAGTTTACGGAGGGAGTAAATGCAGTCCGCACCCAAAGTAAAGTCAATTCTAAATAAAAAACCCAACACACCACACTGAAGGAATTACTACGGCAGGCAAGGATGATTAATTGCAGACTTCTACCAGATAACGCAGCAACCACAGTTGAGAGGAAGCCAAAACACAGATAAGCTCCGACAGGAGTGAACGCTTTGCTTCCAGCAACTTTGCCATGCGCAGTTTGTCTTTTTTACCAGTCCTCCCAGCTGCAGCTCATGAAGGGGATCAGGGCCCCTTCCTCCCCCATAGACCATGCCACTCATGTTTCTCCCTTATCTTCTCCTCCCTGCATGGATGAAGATGGGATGGGCCTGGGTCTTCCTCTGAATGCCCATCCGGCCTGTGCCCTTCCTAGTTTCCTCCACAACTTCCACTCCCTGTCAGCTGTTCCATCTCTCCCTTGGAGTCAGACTCCAACAGGGGCATGACAATGGGTTGCAATATCTCAGGATCACATGCTCCCCTTTTGCAACCTTCTGACAAGCAAAGTCAAGGCAGGAGCCACTTAACGACCGATTGACTAACTTCACGACTGCAGGGATTCACTTAACCATGGTGGCAAGCAAGGTCGTAGACCGGGCCAAAGTTCACTTAAGAAATGTCTCACTTAGCCACAGAAATCTTGGGCTCAACTGTGGTCGTAAGTCGAGGACAGCCTGGAGAACATACAGCTTCTTTATATGCAAAAGCCACTCTTTTTATCTCTCGTTGACTTGTGGGTTTAATAGGATTCTCCGCTGGACAATAGCATACAGTCGGTTCTCCACTTACGACCACAACTGAGCCCAGAATTTCTGTTGTTGACAAAGCTCTCTGTGAAGGAGATAGGTGGTTAAGAAATAAGAATGAATGAATGAATGAATGAATGAATGAATAAGAAAGGAAAGAAAGAGAGAAAGAAAGAAAGAAAATAGATAAATAAATAAAGGCATTTGCTAAATCACTATAATCATAGCGAATCATACGGTCGTTAAGCGGATCTGCCTCCCCCCACTGACTTGTTAGAAGCTGGTGGGCAAGGTCGCAAATGGTGATCACATGACCCCTGGGAGACACCGCAACTGTCATAAATACATGCCAGTTGCCAAGCACCCGAATTTTGATCACATGACCATGAGGATGTTGCAATGGCCGTAAGTACGAGGACTGGTCAAACGTCCGTTTTTTTTTCAATGCCTTTATAGTCACTAAGCCTGTACATTGATTGAGATGTGGTTTGACTGTTTATACATCAAGGTGGCCTGAGAAATAAATAAGAATATCCATTTTTTAAATCTGATTTCCACTTCGGCTCGGTGGGCATAAATGTTCATATTTTCCACCAATAGCATCTATGCAGCCGTTTACTTACTTACTGTAGCAAGGAAAGTGGAGTCAGCTCTTCTTGGCAGTTTGATGATCCATATTAAGCACTGTAGAGAGGAAAGATCAGCACCTTTTAAAGCAAGGATGGGTGACTGTGATCCCTGACTGTGATGGCCATGATGGCGAACCTATGGCATGCGTGCCACAGGTGGCACGCAGAGCCATTTATGTGGGCACCATGAGCCCCAGCCAAACGTACCTGCACTGCGCATGCGCACGCCTCCCAGCTGATTTTTGGCCCGCTTGAGGCCGTTTTCGCCCTCCCGGAGGTTCAAAGAAAGCCTTTGCAGCCTTGGGAGGCTGAAAAAACAGGCCTTCTGGAAATACCAGAAGTGCCGAAACGGACCCATTTTTTGGCCTCCCAAGGCTGCAGAGGCTTCCCTTGAGCCTCCGGGAGGGGGAAAACGGCCTCAAACGGACTGAAAATCAGCTGGAAGGCACGCATATGCGCACTATACGTAAGGGGGCAGGGCGGGGGTGTTGCGTGTGCATGTGCAGGGGAGCGGGGCGCATTGCATTGTGGGTGTTGGCACGCGCGTGCTTTCGGCACACCACAACAAAAAGATTCACCATCACTGACCTATGGATTTCAACTCCCAGAATTCCTGAGGCAGCCTGGAATTGGAAGTCCATGGATGTAAAGGGGCCGTAGTAGTTCACCCTGCTTCAAAGTGGACATTTTCTGCACTTAAGCATGTTCAGTTTGATCTAACACTGAACCCTTGGCCACCTGTTCACTTTCTTAGAGGAGCTGAGAGGGTTTCCTTGGGTTTTTTTTTCTAACCGTGTCCAGAAATGTTCCTGCTAAAATTTAAGCTGTCAGCTTTCTCCAAGACATAAAATCAAGCAAACACTGTCTACCAACTGAGCAATTGAGGACATGTTTAAAATGTCAAGATTTTTTTTACCGTTCCTGGCTGGAATATTGCTGGAGATCGGCACACAAGGAATTGGGCTATTTAGTCTATTCGTTTAGTGACCGTTTGAAGTCACAAGGCACTGAAAAAAAAAAGATTTATTACCTCTTTTCACGCTTACTCACTTTAGCAACGTAAATTTTGGCCGCAATTGTGGTCATAAGACTACCTGTAAATAATTTGGCTTCTCTCCAGATAACAGTTCTGATTGTTCACTCAGCCGTCTTCCCAGCAACCTTCAGCGATTGATGAAATTTAATAGATGTGACCGGGTCAACAGCTGTTAAATGGGTCACGATGATTAAATGACAGTTTCAATCTATATCTCCAAAGATCCTGACATTAGTGTCCTTTCTAATTTTTATTTATTTATTCATTTAAATTGCTCAAAAGCTGGGACACAGGCCGGAGAGGAGATTCCAGTGGTTTCAAAGAACCAGGTCAAGGAATATAAGGACAGCTTCTCCAATGAGAAATTTGATTTCCGCAACAATCCCAACATCACTTTCTTTGTCTACGTCAGCAACTTCACCTGGCCCATAAAAATTCAGGTGAGAAACTCCTCTATGTTTTATCTCATTACTGCTGGTCGCCAGATGTTTTAGACTGGATTTGGTGTTTTTATATCCACCTCTCGAGTCCTTCCCAAGGACCCGGGATAGGAAAACGTCGTTGTGTTAAATGTGTTAAATGACATTGTTAAATGTGGATGGTGTTAAAGGCTAGATGGAAGCTGTTCAGAGAAAAACTGCCTGTTGCGGTTATTATTGTTGTGGTTCCTTGCACAGTCAACCAGATGTTCAGATTTGACATTTTTGTCTGCCTATCGAGTCTTTCTGAAGGACTTGGGATAGGCGGATGTGGAGGTGTTTAAGGTATTGTCGTAGGTTGTAAGCTGTTCCGAGTAGAGCTGCCTTTTGCAATTGACTGGTGAGGATTTTTGTCAATGCCGATGGTGTTCATATCTGCCCATCTTACAAAAAGTGACTCTGGGTGGTGTAAGTCTTTAGAGATTCTCTGTTATTCAGATCCTGGTTGTCCCAAAGGTGGCTTTTTTTCCAAGAGGCAACTGGACTTTCTGGTTTTTCTTTGAAGACGTTTCGCTTCTCATCCCAGAAGCTTCTTCAGCTCTGGCTGGATGGTGGGGAAGGGAAGGATTTATACTCCTTGCAGACAGCTGGTCATTTGCATCCTTTTAGTGGGTCCTTGAAGCACTTGGAGGTTTATCTGTGTCCTCAGAGTGTCCAGAGCGGCACTCCTGGTTCCTGTAGTTTGCAATTTTTTTATCTCTGGAAATCCATTCCTTACTCCCACACCATTCAAAGGCTGCTTATCCCAAATTGTGTAGCTAAGAATCTGGGTGATGTACATCAGTTAAACAGACATATAAAAAACAATTGTTATTAATTTTTTTTAAAAAAATCACAAAGCTGAGCGAATGATAATGAGAACAATGGAGCCATCTCAAGATCTCACCAGGCTCCCAGGCCTGATGATGGAGCCATATTTTGAGGGACTTCCAGAAAAATCAATAGAGATACAGTTAATATCACTTTGTGTTTGTGTTTGTGTGTATAGAATATTTCCTTAAGTGGCCATTACGGCAGAGAAGACCCACCTGGGACCTCCCCCATAAGTGTAGCTTCTAAACAATAGGATCCCTGACACATCTATTCTGCCAGGTCAGTTGCATTAGAAAATATCTGGGGGCTGTCCCCTTCTGGGAAGATGTCAACCTGCTTTTACAGATCGTCCTCCTCTTGAACAGGTGTCCCAACCTACACTGTAGTTTTAGTGCCAGTCCAATAAGGTGCAAACTAGACCCTCTTCAGTCTGTAAGGGTTGAAAAGCCACGATGAGCATAACAACATGGGTTTAGAGAGACCCTCTGCATCCAATTCCATACGTGCAGGTAGTCCTCGACTTAACAACAGCCACTGAGCCCAGTTTTTCTGTTGCTGAGCTTGTTTTGCCCCCATTTTACGACCTTTCTTGCCGCAGTGTCCTGGGCTCACGTGCAGTGGTGGTATTCTACCAGTTCATCCCGGTTCTGCCGAGCCGGTAGCGGCGATGAGCAGCGGAGACCGAACCAGGTCTCTCCGCCGTTCCACTGTTGGGCCCGCCTGCCTGCCTGGGCTCCCGTACTGACCTTTGTTCCCTGCTTTTGAAAGGCAGCTGCTTTGCGTGGCACAGAAGAGTGTCGTGCGGCAGCTGCTAAAGCGACTGGGAGAGTGCAGGCTTAGGCAGGAGGTGCGTGTTTGGCGCGCGGACACAAAGTGTGTGCACGCGTGCAAACGTGCCCGCCAGGCCACGCCCACCAAACCGGTGGTAAAACTTTTTGAATCCCACCACTGCTCACGCGATCACCTTGGCAACCTTCTGACCGAGCAAAGTCAACGGGGAAAAGCCAAACTCCCTTAACAACCGTGTCCCTAACTTAACGATTGCCGTGATTCAGTCGTGTTCAGCGTGAAGTGAATCACGGCAATCGTTAAATTAGGGACACGGTTGTTAAGGGAGTCTAGTTGCCCCCTTGCTGGTCACAAAAGGGGATCACGTGACCCCAGGACATTGCAAATGTCCTACAGATGCCGAGCATCCGAATTTTGATCACTCGGACACGGGGATGCTGCGGAGCGGTCCCTTTTTTCCTAGTGCCGTTGTAACTTCGAATGGCCCCTCAAGGAATGTTTGTAAGTGGAGGACCACCTGTATTTTCTTCCATCGTTTTGATCCGGTGTTTTTTCTAAGCTTTTCTCACTCTTAGTTCATGTTGTGGTCTGCCCAGCACGGCTGGCTTAGGAATTCTGAGAGTTGAAGTCCGCCAATCTTAAAAGTTGCCCAGTTTGGAAACTCCTAGAAAAAATGTGGTTGCCTAAGAAGTTCCCAGAAGAAGTAAACCTAGCAGACCTGAGTGCCATAGAGCAGGGGTCCTCAACCACCGGGCCGCGGACCGGTCCCGGTCCGTGGAGCACTCTGTACCGGGCCGCAAAGAAAAAAAAATAAAAAAATGGCGGCTTTCTTCGCCTTTGGTGAATGCTGCTGGGATCGGGGATCAAGGACACAAATGAAAGAAGGGGAGGGAGGAAGCAACCGAAGCCTGTCCTGCTCTCTGGCTCAGCGGCTTCGGTTTCCTCCCGCCTCGTTCCTCTCTCAGTCGCTCTCTCGCTGCTCCACCAGCCCAGGAAGAAACTGCTTCAAAGAAGCCGGGGGTGTGTGTGGCTTTTCCTGTCGCCGCAGCGCCTCCGAAGCGCCCGGTCACCCCCACCCCGCCCGCCCGCGCGCGCTTCAATTCAGTGCTCCGTTCTGCCTGCCTGCCTGTTTGGTTGTTTGGGAGCAGCTTCGGCTGAGAATAATAACTATTCACCTCTTTTTATCAGCCGAAGCTGCTCCGAAACGAAGAAGGCAGGCAGGCAGGCAGAACGGAGCACTGTGGATTGAACCGCGCGCGGGCGGGCGGGGTGGGGGTAAAGGGGCTCTTCGGAGGAGCTGCGGCGACAGGAAAAGCCACCACCACCACCCCCCGGCTTCTTTGAAGCAGTTTCTTCCTGGGCTGGTGGAGCAGCGAGAGAGCGACTGAGAGAGGAACGAGGCAGACACCTGAGGGAGGGAGGGAGACACCTGAGGGATGGGGCTGAGGGAGGCAGGGCCGAGGTGCTCCCTGAACTTGGTGGTTTGCTGGCAGACGTTTTAATACCCGACTAGGTAACAACATCAGATGTTACCTAGTCAGGTAATGAAACGTCTGCAAGCAAACCACCAAACTCGGATTCTCCCCCCCCCCCCCCCCCCCCCCCGA